GCGGCTGCAGCGAGAGCCCCGCGGCCAGGGCAGCTCGGTGTGAGCTCGCCCAGAAGCGCTCTCTCGGGGCCCCTGGGCCAGGCTGCGAGTAGGGGGCCGGCCAGGTCTAGCGGGAGCACCCGGAGCTCCGTGCCCGGGTCGGGAATGCCCGGGAATATCACTGCGCCTCTGCCCTTGCCCCATACTGCCCGGTCCTGCTGGGCACACCGCGCTGCCTGCTCCTTCTTCTGGTCTTTTCTTCGCTTGGCCCCAGTAGTAGTTCTCTAGCTGTGGTCCTACTGGCCTGCCTGGTCTCCCTGCGTGTTCCTTTCTCGCTCTCCATCCCCATGGCCTGCCTCTCTAACCGCTCCTGTGCTGCAGAGTCTCCTGGACATGATGGTCGCTGAGGAGGAGAGCCTGAAGGAGCGCCTCTTGAAGAGCATTGCCCTGTGTCGGAAGGAGCTTGACACCCTCTGCAGGGAGCTCCAGCTGGACCCCTGTGAGGTAAGGTGTTGCTTTTCACTCCTAGGATCCTGCTGGCAACAGTCTTCTGCTGCCTGGCCTCTGCCCAGGTGTCTCGGTGAGGCTGGAGCTCACAAGGCAAGCATCTGTTCAAAGTCACTTTTCCTGATGCTTGGTAGAGCCAAAGGCTTTGTGGCTCCTCACAGTTTAGGCACTGGGAGATGGTAGTGAGGAGGCCAGGTGTCTTGCAGCATCTCATTTTGTGTGTTGCTGCTGCATTTGCACCTTCCTGGGGAACATCTTGCTCAGAACTAGGGCTTGTGTCCCAGGTCTCCATTTAAGAAGCCTTAAATATATGAATCAGGTCTGCGAGAGTTGTGGAAAAGAGACCTGATTTCTGGACTCTTCTAGGCAGAGGAAGAAAGTACCATTCTGCAGATGGAGAAGAATTTGCGCACCCGTGTGGAAGTGATGTTAAAGCAGAAAAGGGACAGGAAGCAGGAGCTGAAAACCCTGCAAGAACAAGATCGAGACTTGTGCGATATCCTCTGCACAACCCCGTTCTGCATCGACAGCAATGCCGTGCCCAGCCTGGAGGACCTGGATCGTTACAGGCGCCACTTGGCCTCCCTGGCCGCCGAGAAGGTAAGCGGAGAGGGGGGTGAGGATCTCGCCAAGGGTGGCACACAAGGTGCTCGCTGGTTTCTAATGCCGGTCGTCACCTCCAGGAGCAAAGGCGAGAAGAGTTTGTCAGCAGCAAGCGGCAAATCATCCTCCTCATGGAGGAGCTGGACCACACTCCAGACACAAGCTTTGAGCGGGACGTGGTGTGCGAGGACGAGGAAGCCTTCTGTTTGTCCATGGACAATATTGCTGCCCTCCAGAATCTGCTGCAGCAGGTATGTTGGCACACTGAGGCAGCGTTGCTTGCTGTGGAGGCTGTCGATAGGTCCTAGCAGCGGTTGGCATCGTGATGTGAAGAGCAACTGCTCAGTTTTCAGCAAGCCTGTGTGTTAGAACATCCTTTCAGGAGCTTTTGCAAGGAGATCTTGAAGATGAGCTTTGCTAGGTGCAGTAGAGCAAATGGCCTATTCGTGCCCTTCGGGGCCAGGCTGTGCTGGCGCTGACCCTGTGTTCTCCCTCCTGTAGCTGGAAGCCCGGCAATCCCTGAATGAAGCTGTGTGCACAGAGCTGCGCTCCAGAATCGTTGCACTTTGGGAAAGGCTGCAGGTTCCTGTGGAGGAGAGAGAGTCTTCTGCGGTGCATGTGACTGGGTCCAGAGCCAAAATCAGGAAAGCTGTAAGAACCATCCTGTGCCCTTGGAAGGGGAGGGCTGGGGAGCAGCAGCTCTGGGTTTCGCACTCCTGTTTGCTCAGCCGGAGTGGAGAAGCTGCTTCCGGCAGCCAGGTGCGAGGTGAGCAGGCCAAATCCTGCCCTCGCGGGTGGAGGAGCTGGGAGTTGGTGCTGGCGACTGCCTCATCTTAGAAAGTGGCTTATGCAGAAGATAAATCCTGTTCTGCTCCTCTTCTTCTCATGCTGTCTTCTCTGAGTCTGTGCTCTGATCTTGTTGGCAGCTGCAGTTGGAAGTGGACCATCTGGAGGAGCTGAAGCTGCAGAACATGAAATCTGTGATTCAGGCAATCCGGGCAGAGCTGGCTGACTACTGGGACAAATGCTTCTACAGTCAGGAGCAGAGGGAAGGCTTCAGCCCCTATTACGATGGTGGGTGCTGGCTCTTCCTGCTCATTGACTCCCTGTGGGAGCTGTAGGCTGCCTGCTGGCAGGCCAGCTGCCGAGAAGGGCTGCCCTCAGCTCGCAGAGGTGTGGGGAATCCCGGTTGCCTCCTGAACGTGCTGTTGTATCCTCTCCAGAGGACTATACAGAGACCCTGCTCGAGCTCCATGATGCTGAGGTGGGGAAGATGAAGAGCTACTACGAAACACACAAAGATCTGTTTGAGGCTGTCCGGAAATGGGAGGAGAACTGGAAGCTGTTCCTGGAGCTGGAGGTATTGTCTGGGCAGGAACGTGCTCCTCCTGGCTCAGTGCTAGGTCACCAGGCAGTGCGCACCTCCGCTCCCATGTGCAAAGTGCTGTTGGGAAAGACCAGGGAGGCAGTAGGAAACCACGGTGGGTCGGTGAGGGGATGGGGTGCTGTATCTAGAGCACTGATGTGGTTTGTGATGGGGGGGCTGCGCAGCAGGGATGGCTTCCTCCAGGGTCTATATCCTGTGGGGTGTATGTTGGGCTGTGAGACTGGGTGGTGTGTTTGGTTCTCTCCTGACCTCCTTTCTGTGCTAGAGGAAAGCAACTGACCCCAGTCGCTTTGCCAACCGTGGGGGGAATCTGCTGAAAGAAGAGAAGCAGCGAGCAAAGCTGCAGAAGACGCTTTCCAAGGTAGGTTCAGCCCTGGAGGAGAAGCTGTAGTCCCAGATAAGCCTGCGTAGTACTGACTGAGGAGAAGCGCAGCACTTAAAGCCAGCAAGGGATATCTCTGGGCTTGGAGAAGCCCATGTTCAGGAGGGCAGCCTCTCTACACTGCCCTTGTGTCCTCATCAGCTGCAGGAGGAGCTGGAGAGCAGGGTCCAGGCCTGGGAGCAGGAGCGCGAGGGGATTTTCCTGGTGAAGGGGCAGCAGTTCATGGAGTATGTGATGGAGCAGTGGCAGCTGTACCGCCTGGAGAAAGAGAAGGAGAAACAGGAGCGGGTGAGTGCGAAGCTGAGCGTGCTGCCTCCTGGCCTGGAGGAGCCTCTGCTGCATTGAACGGGTAGGGGGAGCTGCCCCACCAGCCGCTGCCCGGGGCTCTCGCGCACTCTCTGCCTGGAAGTGGCTCTGCATGCCACCTTTCTGCTCATGCAGTCACCTTTCTTTGAGAGCGGGACTGGTGTCCATTGCTATGGATGTCTGTCCGTGTTGAGCCCCTTTCCTGGCCCCAGCTTGCCAGAACTGCAGCTTGGTTCTGGATGCCTGTAAATCTCTGTTGAAATACCTGCTGTTTGGCAGTGCCACAGACTGGCTGCCAGGGTATTTGCCTGCTGGCAGAAGCCTGCCCTTCCCCTGGCACCGTGTGGCAAGCAGGCGCTCCGCAGCTCTGTGCGGCCGGCTCTGCACTGTTCCTCTGCTCGGGTTTGTAAGTGCAGATCTCTCACACAGCACCTGAAGAAAAGCCGCCAGATTGAGACAGAGATGATGTATGGAAGCACCCCACGGACACCCATAAAGCGGCGAGTGCTTGGCCCCCACACACCTGGCAAAGTAAGGAAGGTAAACTGTCTGTGCAAAGCAGCATAGATGTGCTGGGACCCTGCCGCGAGCTGAGCACTGTCACTAGGCTAGAGCCCTGCCTTTTCTCGGGCTGGCCTCGGTCCCACGCAGAGATGCAGGGAGGGTTTGGGGTGCTGCGGCAGCGTAATGGAAGCAGGGAAAGGGCCCAGGCTGTGGGCACCTCTGTTCTCCCTGGGGACAATCAAGCCTGTTGTACTGTGGTGCTCTGGAGGCAGAAGGCTCTGTGCAGCCGTCAGCTTCCTCCCCGTGTGACGTGTGCTCTGCTTTTCCCCTCAGCTCAACGGCACTTCCATCTCCAGTGCCACACCCAACAGCACTGTTCGTTCTGCTTTTGGGGGAACCATCTACCACTCGCCAACATCTCGGTTGCCACCTTCCGGAGGGAAGGTAAGAGCTTTCCAGGGAGTCCCTGCCCAGCAGAGTGGGCTGGGGAGGAGGTGGGTGAGCTCTGACTGCTGTGTCGTGCTGTGTGTCGCTGCCTCCCCTGCCAAGCTCCTGGGGTGCAAAAGCCCCTGTTTTTCCATAGCCTGCTGTGTTGGGCTGCCGCAATCCTGGCAGGATATTTCTGGGACTTGAGGGAGTAGGAGGGTAGTAGCAGCATTCAGGAAGTCTTCCTTCCAGCCCAGATTTCTAGCATACCTCTGTTCCTCTGTGCCGAGCCTGCAGCTTGGGGGACCTCTAAAACGTGGCTGTGTTGCTGTATGTTTCCGGGATTAGAATTGAGCCCTAGGCCATGGAGGGCTCCTGGAGCTTGAAACCACTGCCTGTCGCTCTGCGGTAACAGAGTAAAGCTAGCGCAGCTCTCCTAGCTCTGCCTCATTCTTGTGTCCCATCTAACTGTCGCTTCTTCCCGTAGTTTGGCCAGGCTCGGACCCCCAGCCGCGTGGCTGCGAAGCCCCCCCGTCCTGGACACAGGGAGCGGAACAAGGAGAACGTGTCCCAGCTGAATGGAACCACCCTGAGCGGTGGGTGCACCCCCACAGCCCCTGTCCAGCGTAACCACAGCGTTAATTCTGTTGCCAGCACCTATTCTGAGTTTGCGGTAATTCACCTCTTCTAAACCCACCTCCCCTCACTGGGCAGCACAGGGGGTGTGCTCCCCCCCTCCCAGAGCACCCCATGGGGCTGCAGCTCTGCACAGCCCTCCTGGTGTCCCCACGCAGGCGGCTGGTG